CCGGGAGTAGTTGACGGCGGAGAAGAAGGGAACTGCATAGGTAGCCCAGGGACCCGTCTGTAAGAGTCACCACATGCGAGTACATGGTAATAAGTTGATCAAAATCACTCAGAGATTCTTGACTCCGCCATGATGTATGGGTAGAATAACCCTAAATGTCGCGGAGATTTAAGAAAGGGTGTCACATCTTGCCGGCAAAGAACGCGAAAGTGTTTAAATTCAGTTACTTGTCATTTACCGTTGGATCGTTCGGCCGAAAGTTATCGTTAAGAGGGACTAGAATGATCTCTACACAGGCGATGTCTTCCGGCCGTGCAGATGTATGCCCGGATGCGGACACTTGGGTGTCGTCAGCCCCGTGGGCTATCAGCGCAACGGCGACCTGCACGCATAGCTGACTGGCAAACAAAGTCAGGAACAAAAGATTCAGGAACATAGCCTTACAAAATCTCCCCGGTTGGATAGACCGTGGGGCCCAGAACTGAGCCGCCAGCGTTGCGGTGCGCGGCTGGCGGCTTGTGTGTGGCTGGACAGTCGGTTCGCAAACCACTGGCTGTTGCTGCGGTGATGCTGCATGGTAGCAAGTAATGTGGAGCATTCGCCAAGATCAGTCGAGCACAGAAGAGACATTTTGCCTTCAACCATGGCGGCCATACTTCGGCACGGGGCGGAGTAGAGCAGTTTCAGCGGAACGACGTGTTCCGAACCCATGCTGAGAAGGGGATATGGTCAGACGGATACAAGAGGAGATGCATTGCACTGTCCTTTCAACGATCTTGGCGACGACGGGTGGAATGTAGATGGGGGGGGGGGGGAGGAGGGGTTTGAAAGTTTGTCGCCACCAGATTTACAGGCTCAGATAAAGCACTAGTGTTCCGACAAGATAGACATCTTGGCAGAGTTGATGTGTCTTCAAAATGTACAGTGGCAGAGCCGATGAGGCGAAGCAAAGTTTTGAAATCCTAATGTTACAAACTTTTAAGCCCACAGCAGCGTCAGTTTCGCATCGTCAAAACGTTGTGGACTGAACGCACAGGTCAGGCACGACCGAACGCGTTCACGTTCAGTGACCAGGCAATCGTGCCCGGCCTACATTGGCAAAGCCAGCCATAGCGGTGACAATGCGTGTCAGATCTAAAGTGTCTAGTTCAGGCATCCTCCGCAGAACGGTCTCGAAGCGACGGCTTATTGCTGGCGAAGTAACCATTGGACGTTACGGAAACCTAGTTGGAAATGGTATGAACTTGTGGAGTCCACAGGGCGGGCAAACTGCTGAGGCAGTCGGAGGCAGATGTGCTACTGTTGGACAAAACCTGAAGTGATAAAGCGCCTCCCATTGCACGCTGCAAAGTCACGGTAGTTTGGATCCTTCAAACGTATCAATTTCATGTTCTGCGGAGAGCTGTGTGCGCTTCTTTCTGCGCTTGCGCGGCGGCCCGCTGGCCAATTAGGCTCACATGTGGAAGCACACGTCTATCAAAGTATCTGTTGAAGGGGCGCCATACGACCAATGCCGTCGGCGCGCCACCAGACCCAAATCAACACAAAATTATGTGGGCTAGCGTATCTTATTTTCGTGGCGAGTGCTGTCAGAAAAGGCCGGCTGGATGGAAGCGGAGGGTTAAGGCACTGTGGGGAATTCCGACTGTTATATGGTTTTGTATTCTGCAGCCACATATCCGCACACCTTGCGTCGGAGACGAGCGCGTGCTTCATCGACGCGCCTCGCTCGGGTCGGGCTCCGGCCCCGGACCTCCGAGCTTTTCCGCGCCCGCCGTTGTGTGATGAACGCTTACGGCCCCTTCCGCGCGGCATCCGCACGGAAGAGCTGGAAGCGATTTAGATCGCCGGCGGAGCTTTGTCCCGGGGGACCGGGGGGGGGGGGGCGGGGGGAGGGGGACAAAGGCGCCGCGGCGGCAGGCCGGGCTGCCTCTGAACCCGCCACATCCCGGCTGGCCTCTGATACGCACGCGTATTGTGTGGGGTCCGACGCCTTCGCGGCCCGCCGCCGACAGGCAGTTGACATTCGGCCCGACGGGGCCGCCACAAAAAAATAAGTGGTAGGAGGGAGTTGTGATTCACAAATCCGCGGTTTGCCACTGCACATTCAGCATTCGGGTCTTTCGAGTGGATAACCCATTCGCCAAAAGTTGGGGATTTACCCTTCAAAAGTTTGCGACGCCCGCCAAAAAGTTCGCGACTTACTGTGCGAAAACGCACACAGTCTCCGCTTCGTAAGAGTCGCGCGGGCTGCCGCAGCCATACACGCCTCAGCCGCCGGCGGCCTGTCGCGCTGGTGACGGTCGTGTTGCTGGCCCGATCGTCACCACCGGCCGGCGCGGCGGCGCCCGCCGGCACGACGCGGCCGACGGTAATTAATTTCGCAGCTCGCGCGCTGCCGGCCGCGCCCTGCGGGGCCACTTGAGCGGTGCGCTCGCGTCCGAGAAAGGTCAGGCCCGCCGGGCTGGCTCGCGCCCCGCGGACTGGACCCGGTGAGACTCAGGTCAGGCGGGACTGGTGGACTCCACCATTCGTACACGCCACTAGTCACTCAACAGGACGTTGTCAGCTCGCATGTTTATATCGGTATTTATATCGTCACTGCACAGGTCGTTGTCAGCTCACATCGCAGCTCGGTCGTTTTCGGCTCGCATATATATATATATATATATATATATATATATATATATATATATATATATATATATATATATATGTACACCATCGGGTTTTGAGGAGTGCATTTCTTCAGTAGATCTCCACAGGCAGTTACCGCAGATGAGTGTGCTAGAGGAAAACACGCGTCATTGGTGGCCTGTGTGAGCCAACTAATGCATTTCAATTGGCGATGGATGTTGTTTATGGAGGTCTCGCTGCTTGGCAAGGTATTGTTACCGCTGGTTTCTCGATGTTACCTGTTGGGTGAGTATTCGAGTAGGACAGTGATCCCCATTTGGGCGCGGTAGCGGGAGGGCCCTTCAACAAAGCTACCACGGAGAGCATTTCTGGAAGAATATGTTAAAACTCTCAATTCTGGGAAGGGTTCCCCTGGTGGTTCATTGACATTGGCGTTTGAGGGGCGCAGCAGATAGATACCTAACCCACGTCGGTTATCAAATCAAGTCTGGAGAACTCGGCGCTATCAATCACCAAAGTTTCTTAAGTACCTCTGACGTACTCTTTCCGCTTTTATTTTCAATGGATCCATGATTGCGCTGACGTTCGGTTTTACAGGTTTCAGTCGGGATCGGTATGGAGTGTTGACTGGGTTACGGTGATAATTAGAACTTGCATTGCAGTCGCTTGTTAAAGGCAGTAGTCTATATTCATATGAGGTTTTGAACTGAAATAGCTATTTCGAAAACCTTTCGGTGCTGCTTACAATTCTGCCATTCTTAAAACTTAAGTCCCTCTAGTTTCTGAGCGTCACGCCCGCGAAAGCGAGGAAAGTTTTCTCTTCACCGGAGAGAGTGTTCCAGTCACTTGAGCATTCATTACGTGATAACGGCATTAAAATCCTGCCATTCCATAAGCCATGCGGCGATCAAGGAAAATCGAAAAGATAATTGTCGAGGTGTTCATGTCTGGCGTCTGTGGGCGCGATTTTCAAATGTAACGGTCGTCAGTGGGCTCCCAATCAATGTTGTGCAAGGTATAATGACGTAATCAAACCGTGACGCACTGAGGATCATGTTTACTAAACAGAGAATTGTGTTGTTTCGAGCAGGCTTTTCCTCGTGAAAAAGTACAATAGTTAAAAGTGAGTTTGTTTTGTATATCTCATGCTTGCTTCAATTTCTTCAAATGTGAAACATTCTCTTTGACGGAGCTCTACGTTTGTTCATTTAATGGTAACGTTATATTATACCGAGTTAATTATTTACTTAAACGCGTTTTACAAGCGTTTACACGGCTGGGTAGCGCCAGAACAGATGTCATGTCGTTTTTATTTATTAACGTCGAAAGAGCATGCGCTGCACTCTGTTACGTTCCTTGTTACCAAAAAGATGTGTATTGCAATGGTTTTGGTCGTAATTCATAAATAAAAATCACAGAGATAAGGCGGTATTGTCCATTGTCTGAACTCTTCATCCCCCCCCCCCCCCCCCCCCCCAATTCGGCTTACTGTATAATTACTGTGGCCGAATGAGGCCGATGTCGGATTTCGCAAGCCCTGAGAGCTTTCGCGTGTGCGTAAATATCGCTCTGTTGTGGCTGCAAACTCAGGCGGAGGCCGATGGGTGTCACTGCGCGACATTTCGCCGACGGCCACGCACTGCATCTGAAGGTGTTGTCCCACCTTCAGTCCGTCTGGCGGCCGCCGCACAAGCGCGACGTCTGTGTCTTGTGTGGGCGAGGGAGGAGGAAGCGGCGCACGTCGCCGCCTGCTGCCCCCACCCCACCACATGGCCGATGCGTGCGCTCGGCTCTGTACACAGCTCGCCGGCCGTCGCCGCTGTAATGTGATGGCATACCCGGCCGGCTGGCGTCCGGCTGCTGCTGGCGCGCGCGGCGGGCCGTCTCGCTGGCCCGCCGAGTCACTCACCGGCAGCAGATGCCCCCCCCCCCCCCATCCCTCCCGTTGCCCCAGCAGATGATTTCTCTGTTACAGCACATAATCGCCCCTAAGCGCCCCCCGCTGTAGAATATCCCCCTCTGCAGATAAATTTCCTTCCCCTCGCGGCAGAAGTAGTTCCCAACGGCAGTCAATCCCTCCCTCGATGCCCCTTCACTGGGAATGACCTTGTTCCCGCCTCCCCGCCATCACGGCCATGCTGAAGCACCATCGCTGCCGTTCTTCTCGCCCCTTCTCGCCACAGTAGATGATCGTCTCGCCCTCCCCCGCCCCCTCTCCCGCTCTGCGCAGCCAATCAACTCTACCTACTTCAACGACAGCAGATGATCGCTCCGTCGTGCACCAGCCGCCGTCCTCTCGCCTCTGACCTGAGGTCAGCCCGCCGGTCGGCCTGTGGTGCTGACGCCCGCGTCCCGCCCGCCAGGTACCAGGGCAGCGAGCCGTGCCTGGTCCTGCTCGTGGCCCACTCTCGGCGAGGGCGGCGCTGGAGGCGCGTGACGCCCGCGGTCGCACGCCGCTCCACGTGGCTGCCCAGCGCAACAGCCTGGATGCATGCCAGCGCTGCTGAGTGGCGGCCGGGCGCTGGCGGCCGAGGACCGGCAGGGCCGCACGCCGCTGCTGGCCGCTGCCGCCCACGGCCACCTGCAGATGGTCGGTGAGTGCGGCGCGGAGCAGCCTGCGCAGCTATCGTCGCCGGACTGAACACGGCTTCTCTGCGGGGGATGGGCAGGGCCATGGTGCGTAGCTTCACATGGCGCCGTGTTCGCGTAGCGCAGGGTATGCATGGAGACGGAGAATGGTGAATGTTACATGGTATGCTGGCGCTAAGTGCCAAATGAACAGAGGAAGTCAACAGACCAAGTAGTTTGCGCCCTCTGTGTTCATCCTGCGTAAGTGAAAGATAGCGTAAGCAAGCTGGTCACAAGTGGAGGCGAGCACTGCGCCGGCGGTGACTGAGTACGGCTTTGGCGCAGCGGCGGACGAGACAGTCGGGGTACGAGACCGACAACAGCGACGCCGCTCGAACACGTGCGGCTGTGCGTGTGTGGAGTGTAAGGCGTCCTGCGGGTGGGGCGGCTTTGTACGTTGTGTGTCAGGGCCGGCTCCTACTGCTGTGAGGGTGCGTTGGCGGACCATCGCCGTCCAATGCCGTAGCTTCTTGTGCCCGTCCCAGCCACCCTAGCTGCGGAAGTGTAATTATACCACACAAAACATATATGATAGTATATATAGATATATATATATATATAATTACATATATACTATATATATATATATATAGATTATATAGTATATGCATGTATGTTATGTTTTCGCCGGGCCAGGCTGGTCTTACTCGTGGCGTAGCTTCGGGCGCGGCGACGCTGAGGGCCGCTGGAGGCACAGCATTATATATTATTATATATATATATATATATATAATATATAATATATATATAGTATATACCACCAGTCGCTCCCGAGGTCATACGGTTGAAATAAACGCAACTCCTCCCGTACGTTAACTGGTGCACGCCCTCGCGGTGGCCTCAGCTGGTTGCGGTCTGGGTGGGGGGGGGGGGGTGCCTTGTGGCGGGCGTGCGTGCAGCGCTTGACGCTGGCCGCTGGCCGCCTGCCACAGAGGCGCTGCTGGACGCCGGCTCGGCCTCGGCGATCGCACCAGGAGCGCGAGGGCCAGCACCGCGCTCCAACCTGGCCTGCGAGGCCGACCACAGCGCGGTGGCTGTGCGGCTGGCGCAGCGCGCCGCCCGGTCAGACGCGCTCAACGTCACAGACAGCCAGCTGCAGACGTACGTATGCCGGCCTATTCACGGCACGCTGCTGCCGGTGGCTGTGTCCCGGGCTGCTCCAGCCGTGTTCAATAGCGCTGGTGTTCGGATGTACGCTGACGGCCCCTGACGTGTCTGAAGCTTTTTTTGCAGGAATGAATGCAATTATGTTTTTTAGGTATACGGTCGGAGTGTTGTCATTATGTACCCTTTGTAATACATACACTGAGGGCTCGACGTAGCCGTTGGCTCCCTTGAAAAGCTCAGACTTATGCCCCCGTGGTGCGGAACAATTACACCAACAATAGTCCCTTCACTCTCCAGTGCGCCTGATCTCGCAGAAGTAAATCCTGAAACCTTAGACTGTAACGCAGCACAAAGCTGCCGTGCGGAACAGTCCAGATCCATGCGCGTGCCCTCGGCAACAGATAGGTCAGCGGTGTGGAGTGATTGATGGCCGGCCCATTCGCTGGACGGTGTGGTACTGAAGCTTGTCCGGAATCGAAGTGAGCGGAAGAGGCTGCTGTGCGGTCCATTCTGTTGACATGTCTGACGGATCGGTGGTGGGCATTCATCGTTATTTGGCCCTAATTCCGGAAGATATGAGATAGACCGGGGAATCAGTTGCGATATTTGGTAATTTACGAAGGTGTAGTCCTTACCTTTGATTGGATGCATTTCTGGGATCAGCGCTCACGCTAAGTGGTGCTCGTGGCGCGAGCCCTGACACCACCATCCGATAAAGTGACAGTTAAACGTGCCGCAACGCCAGGGACTGTCCACCCCACCCTGAGGGCAGGCCTCTCTGACGTCACCGGACCTTTACCGCACCCGCTGCTTCCGGCCATAGTTCATGCCAGCCAGGGCCAAGCAATGAACGCGTAGATGCTGGACCCCCCTCTGCCCAGCACCTAAGGTATTGGGACACTACAAAACGGCAACAAATTTCAGTGATTTTGCAGAAAAGCGTAGGGGAAAACATTGGCACCTCCAAAATCACGAACCGATGCATTTATATTGAATAACAAGAAAGCATAATGCATCGGCTATCCATTTCTATTTCTACAAGTGTGTCTGACTTTCATGAGGGAACCCTACACTTAGATCTTTCAATGCATGTTTTTTCTGTAAAGACCTCAGTAGCAATGAAATCCTACACTGGCGCGACCAGTCATTCATCTTAGTTCGCTGGAGCCAAATATTCAGATGATCTGCCATCTTTAAGTCCCGAGTATGTCAGCGTTTTTCTCTATGCTTTAACTGAGGCCACGTAGTTTTGTCCGAGGCGTCGCTCCTCACCCAACTCGGTCCAATGTATTTTTTTTAAAAATCAGTAGGTGGCATTGTTTCCTTTCTAAATGGAATCAGACATAATATTCAACAAAGCCATAGGTATAA